GTCCCTGTGTTCTGCCAAGCTTGTTCTAAGTAGGTGCTTTAGACCACTGAGCCATCTCACCAGCCCTCAAGTTCTCATTGATTGGCTGAACTGCCCAGCCTAGGCTTAAACTTGCAGACTTCCTGCCTCAGCCTCCCAGAGTGCTAGAATTGTAGGCATGCACCACCAAACCCAACTCCCTCTTGATTTATCTCACAGACCTTGTTATGAACACCATGTGGCTGTTGCTCAAATGGTGTGGTTTGCTTTGTTCTGAAGAATATATTCATTTCCAAGAAAAAAAAAAATGTCACAAATGCAATATTTTTTTCTCTCATTGTTTGAGGCCAGCGTTCAGACCTAACACAAGCATCAATCAAATTAAATCAGCTGGATCTAAAATGATCTCCTAGGAGGTTTGTGAGCTACATGGCATGATGTTTTATCAATAAAAGGGAATGGTCACATGGGCTATTATTGCTTAATTCTAAGAAACGTCCCTCTCCTAGCCTGGGAAGGGAGCAGTTACCTTGTTTGGCCTCTGCCTGTGGGCCAAATTAGACAGAACACAGTTAAATTGAAGCTCTCCTTTGATGAAGCTTGGCAGGGACAGCTGGGAGACCATTGTTGGCCTTCCGAATGCCTTCTTTTTTCTTCTCTCACTTAACCCATCCTGTTAATTGCATTTGCATTGAAATTGGCCATTAAAAGCTGAGCTTGAGTGAAGAGGAAAACCAAGAGAGTCAAATTTAAACAGAAACATGCTTTTAAGATACTTCCTTATGGGTAGAAAAGTTTTCTGCTTGGATTTGATAATTTAGGGCTCCATGTAATCCCTTTATTTAAGGAAGAGAATTTATAGTGTACAGATGGGTCATGTGAGTGGGATAGCCTGATAGGGTGTGTGTTTAGGGTTCACCAGCAAGACCTCATGAACATGCTTTCTCCCCAGTCCATGTTCTTTTACTAACTCAATCAGGCCACTATTTGGATAGTTAGGAGTCAGAAACCTAGAGATATCCATGAAAAGAATTCTGCACAGTATAATTATGGGATCCCAAAATCATCTTCACTGATTTGTTAAAATTATTAATCAGTCCACACTCTCATCCTTTTACATAAACATCAGGCCCTGTATTTAATTAGAAAGCCATCTGCACAATAGTCAAGATGTAAAATCGGGGCATGTAAGGTGAGGGTCTTGCTGACGGACAACATCACCAAGAAAGGGATGGCTGTGTGGAAGGAAGCCAGGGGTTCAGCATTCTAGAATCAGAACCTAGAATCAGAAGGTAGTCAGCCCTCTGCACTCCACCACTTTCTTTTCCTTGGTTCTGTAGCCCTTTCCTTTAATCAAGGCCATATTGCAATTTATATTTTTCCTCTTTTAAATTTCCTTAAAATTAAAACGGGTATGGTGGCGCATGCCTGTAATCCCAGCACTGGGGAGGCTGAGACAGGAAGATCATTATGAGTCTGAGCTACATAGTAAGACCCTGTACCAAATGAATAGATAAATAAAAATGTTTAAAAATTCTCCTTAAAATTAATGAAGACATAAAGACTCCCCAGAGAGCATGTGTCTGGTTCTCAGGCATGGCTGGCTTTAGTCTGTAATCCGCCTCAGTGCCCCGTAACTCTTAGGTCATGGTTCTTAAGTGGGTTTGTGGGTCTTTAATGGTTTCCGAGGTCAGATAATTTTTGTAATGATACTTAGATATCATTTTGTACTTTTCCTGGTAACATTTGTACTCTCTAAGGTCCTCAATAATTTTTTGAGTATAAATATTTATTCCCAATGCTACATAATACCTGAT